TTGGTTTTCTATGAACCCTGATGAAGAAAAATAGAATGACTTAAAAAAACATTTGGTTTTCTATGAACCCTGATGAAGAAAAATAGAATGACTTAAAAAAACATTTGGTTTTCTATGAACCCTGATGAAGAAAAATAGAATGACTTAAAAAAACATTTGGTTTTCTATGAACCCTGATGAAGAAAAATAGAATGACTTAAAAAAACATTTGGTTTTCTATGAACCCTGATGAAGAAAAATAGAATGACTTAAAAAAACATTTGGTTTTCTATGAACCCTGATGAAGAAAAATAGAATGATTTAAAAAAACATTTGGTTTTCTATGAACCCTGATGAAGAAAAATAGAATGACTTGAAAAAACATTTGGTTTTCTATGAACCCTGATGAAGAAAAATAGAATGACTTAAAAAAACATTTGGTTTTCTATGAACCCTGATGAAGAAAAATAGAATGACTTAAAAAAACATTTGGTTTTCAATGAACCCTGATGAAGAAAAATAGAATGATTTAAAAAAACATTTGGTTTTCTATGAACCCTGATGAAGAAAAATAGAATGATTTAAAAAAACATTTGGTTTTCTATAAACCCTGATGAAGAAAAATAGAATGACTTAAAAAAACATTTGGTTTTCTATGAACCCTGATGAAGAAAAAAAGAATGATTTAAAAAAACATTTGGTTTTATATGAACCCTGATGAAGAAAAATAGAATGACTTAAAAAAACATTTGGTTTTCTATGAACCCTGATGAAGAAAAATAGAATGACTTAAAAAAACATTTGGTTTTCTATGAACCCTGATGAAGAAAAATAGAATGACTTAAAAAAACATTTGGTTTTCTATGAACCCTGATGAAGAAAAATAGAATGATTTAAAAAAACATTTGGTTTTCTATGAACCCTGATGAAGAAAAATAGAATGACTTAAAAAAACATTTGGTTTTCTATGAACCCTGATGAAGAAAAATAGAATGACTTAAAAAAACATTTGGTTTTCTATGAACCCTGATGAAGAAAAATAGAATGACTTAAAAAAAATTTGGTTTTCTATGAACCCTGATGAAGAAAAATAGAATGACTTAAAAAAACATTTGGTTTTCTATGAACCCTGATGAAGAAAAATAGAATGATTTAAAAAAACATTTGGTTTTATATGAACCCTGATGAAGAAAAATAGAATGACTTAAAAAAACATTTGGTTTTCTATGAACCCTGATGAAGAAAAATAGAATGACTTAAAAAAACATTTGGTTTTCTATGAACCCTGATGAAGAAAAATAGAATGACTTAAAAAAACATTTGGTTTTCTATGAACCCTGATGAAGAAAAATAGAATGACTTAAAAAAACATTTGGTTTTCTATGAACCCTGATGAAGAAAAATAGAATGACTTAAAAAAACATTTGGTTTTCTATGAACCCTGATGAAGAAAAATAGAATGATTTAAAAAAACATTTGGTTTTCTATGAACCCTGATGAAGAAAAATAGAATGATTTAAAAAAACATTTGGTTTTCTATGAACCCTGATGAAGAAAAATAGAATGATTTAAAAAAACATTTGGTTTTCTATGAACCCTGATGAAGAAAAATAGAATGATTTAAAAAAACATTTGGTTTTCTATGAACCCTGATGAAGAAAAATAGAATGACTTAAAAAAACATTTGGTTTTCTATGAACCCTGATGAAGAAAAATAGAATGATTTAAAAAAACATTTGGTTTTCTATGAACCCTGATGAAGAAAAATAGAATGACTTAAAAAAACATTTGGTTTTCTATGAACCCTGATGAAGAAAAATAGAATGACTTAAAAAAACATTTGGTTTTCTATGAACCCTGATGAAGAAAAATAGAATGATTTAAAAAAACATATGAACCCTGATGAAGAAAAATAGAATGACTTAAAAAAACATTTGGTTTTCTATGAACCCTGATGAAGAAAAATAGAATGATTTAAAAAAACATTTGGTTTTCTATGAACCCTGATGAAGAAAAATAGAATGACTTAAAAAAACATTTGGTTTTCTATGAACCCTGATGAAGAAAAATAGAATGATTTAAAAAAACATTTGGTTTTCTATGAACCCTGATGAAGAAAAATAGAATGATTTAAAAAAACATTTGGTTTTCTATGAACCCTGATGAAGAAAAATAGAATGATTTAAAAAAACATTTGGTTTTCTATGAACCCTGATGAAGAAAAATAGAATGATTTAAAAAAACATTTGGTTTTCTATGAACCCTGATGAAGAAAAATAGAATGACTTAAAAAAACATTTGGTTTTCTATGAACCCTGATGAAGAAAAATAGAATGATTTAAAAAAACATTTGGTTTTCTATGAACCCTGATGAAGAAAAATAGAATGATTTAAAAAAACATTTGGTTTTCTATGAACCCTGATGAAGAAAAATAGAATGATTTAAAAAAACATTTGGTTTTCTATGAACCCTGATGAAGAAAAATAGAATGATTTAAAAAAACATTTGGTTTTCTATGAACCCTGATGAAGAAAAATAGAATGACTTAAAAAAACATTTGGTTTTCTATGAACCCTGATGAGGAAAAATAGAATGACTTAAAAAAACATTTGGTTTTCTATGAACCCTGATGAAGAAAAATAGAATGATTTAAAAAAACATTTGGTTTTCTATGAACCCTGATGAAGAAAAATAGAATGATTTAAAAAAACATTTGGTTTTCTATGAACCCTGATGAAGAAAAATAGAATGATTTAAAAAAACATTTGGTTTTCTATGAACCCTGATGAAGAAAAATAGAATGACTTAAAAAAACATTTGGTTTTCTATGAACCCTGATGAAGAAAAATAGAATGATTTAAAAAAACATTTGGTTTTCTATGAACCCTGATGAAGAAAAATAGAATGACTTAAAAAAACATTTGGTTTTCTATGAACCCTGATGAAGAAAAATAGAATGATTTAAAAAAACATTTGGTTTTCTATGAACCCTGATGAAGAAAAATAGAATGACTTAAAAAAACATTTGGTTTTCTATGAACCCTGATGAAGAAAAATAGAATGATTTAAAAAAACATTTGGTTTTCTATGAACCCTGATGAAGAAAAATAGAATGACTTAAAAAAACATTTGGTTTTCTATGAACCCTGATGAAGAAAAATAGAATGACTTAAAAAAACATTTGGTTTTCTATGAACCCTGATGAAGAAAAATAGAATGATTTAAAAAAACATTTGGTTTTCTATGAACCCTGATGAAGAAAAATAGAATGACTTAAAAAAACATTTGGTTTTCTATGAACCCTGATGAAGAAAAATAGAATGACTTAAAAAAACATTTGGTTTTCTATGAACCCTGATGAAGAAAAATAGAATGATTTAAAAAAACATTTGGTTTTCTATGAACCCTGATGAAGAAAAATAGAATGATTTAAAAAAACATTTGGTTTTCTATGAACCCTGATGAAGAAAAATAGAATGATTTAAAAAAACATTTGGTTTTCTATGAACCCTGATGAAGAAAAATAGAATGATTTAAAAAAACATTTGGTTTTCTATGAACCCTGATGAAGAAAAATAGAATGACTTAAAAAAACATTTGGTTTTCTATGAACCCTGATGAAGAAAAATAGAATGACTTAAAAAAACATTTGGTTTTCTATGAACCCTGATGAAGAAAAATAGAATGACTTAAAAAAACATTTGGATTTCTATGAACCCTGATGAAGAAAAATAGAATGATTTAAAAAAACATTTGGTTTTCTATGAACCCTGATGAAGAAAAATAGAATGACTTAAAAAAACATTTGGTTTTCTATGAACCCTGATGAAGAAAAATAGAATGACTTAAAAAAACATTTGGTTTTCTATGAACCCTGATGAAGAAAAATAGAATGACTTAAAAAAACATTTGGTTTTCTATGAACCCTGATGAAGAAAAATAGAATGATTTAAAAAAACATTTGGTTTTCTATGAACCCTGATGAAGAAAAATAGAATGATTTAAAAAAACATTTGGTTTTCTATGAACCCTGATGAAGAAAAATAGAATGATTTAAAAAAACATTTGGTTTTCTATGAACCCTGATGAAGAAAAATAGAATGACTTAAAAAAACATTTGGTTTTCTATGAACCCTGATGAAGAAAAATAGAATGATTTAAAAAAACTCTACGAGTTGAAATCTAGCAATCTTTTAAAGCTTAGCAAATTGAATGAAATTTCCATCAAAATTTGAAATGAAATTTCTCATCAAAACCAATTGAGAGAACTTGTTAACAAGTTTTCTTTGATGAAACAATTGCTGCACTTAAAAATTATTAATTTATTTAACCATCAAATTTATTTATTTGTGAAGTTTTGAAAAATTTGTAATATGAAATGTGTTGGAGCAGACATTTTTAATAAAGATGAGTTATTAGATCACACAAGTCAGCTATTCTTATTAGATACAATATGATTAAAAAAGTATGGCCTAAAACATATTATTCAGCTTACAAAAAATACTTCTGAATGTATTTCTCATGTGTAGAGGGTGTGTAGGGTATTATTTAACATGGCACAATATCTTTTGAATTGTGGAAATGACTTTGTTATCCTGGAGTAGTTTCCAATTGTGCATTAAAAAAAGCTACCAGCAAGCTTCGCCAGGGTTCTAGAGGAGCCTATTTTATTACTTCATTGAAATTATACTTTGAAGGCAGTTCCTATGTATTGTTGTAGATAATTTCTTCTTTGTTTTGCCTGTAACACTTTATTAACGCTTTACACAACATGTTGTCAAGGCCAGTATTTCTAAAACACCATGTCTGCATCAAACATCATTGCATCTTAAAAAATCCTCAATATTTAAAAAGAGTATTGTTGCTCCTCACAAAACTGATTCAATGAATTTTTATGTAAATCCTAGTGTTTAAGTACAACATCAAAAAATTTCAAATTAAAAGCATGGTGCAAAATAGTGTGTTGAAAAACTAAAATGTAAAATTTGTAAAAAACAAATTACAAAAAAATGACACATACTTGTAGATAGTGATATGAGGAGAAAGTGGTCTCTGCATTCTATCATTTTTTTCCCAAAAACCTTCATTTGGTATAACTTTTCTTTGAACTACTGATGCAGCAGCTGCAGCGTTTTGTTGTGTAGCTAGAGCAAAGCTAGAAAAATATAAAAGAGCATAAATATTTTCAGTAATGCAGTAAAGCATAATTTGTAAAACAATTTTATAAGTAACCTTATTTTAAAAACTAATATGCATAATTATGCATTTTGTGTAATATGTTTTTAATCTAACTGGTGCAGCATAAAGAATGAGGCAATTTATACACCGTTTTATTAAAATTTCTAACAATGTTTTTTTCTATTTTTTTTAATTTTTCCCCCTCTATTTCAGCGAATGGTTGAGCAAAAAAAATTGGAATAGTTTCAATATTTCTTGGATTCAAAAATGACAATTGATCTCAGCATCAGAAAACTGATTAAATCTTATATTTACTCTGGTTTTGATGCTCCCAAAATCTACAATATGCTTAATAAAACTGTTTCCAGAGCAACAGTTTATAGATGGGTCAATTGCACAACTCATTGCAAAATATCAGCCAAAAAATCTTCTGGACGACCAAGTAGCAAGAGAACAAAGTCGTTCATTTCAAAAGTAAAACGAAATGTGTATTTGAACAACAACAAAAAAAAATCGGCTAGAAAAGTTGCAAAAGAAAGTGGATGCTCAGCTAGAACTGTGTCAAGAGCAATCTAAGAATACTTAAGTTTGAAAGCACACAAAAAGATTAGAGTACTGCCTTCACTGCCGCGCACATTTCAAAGAGAAAGTCATTTTCTTTTCGAAATGTGCGCTGCAATGAAGGCAGGAACTGGATCAGAAATCACTTCAACAGTGAATCTTGCCGTTCAATCTTGTTTTCTGATAGAAATTTTTTTAAATTAAAATAGGCAATTTAACAGAAAAAAAGATATTGTGTATGCTCAATCGAGATCAACAGTTAATCAAGACGTTGGTAAGAAGAACGTAAGTATCCATTCAAAGTCATGGTTTAGATTGGGTTTACTTACAATGGACCAACCAAAGTAATTATTTTACCAAAAAAATTTAAGTTCAATATGGATTTTGATATTCAAAAAGTACTTCCCGTTGTTAAAAGCGATGGTATTAGGTGGATTGGAGCCAACTTTATGTTCCAACAAGATGGTGCCATACAAGCAAAAAGACCATCAGTACTATCGATGAGATTGGATTATCAGTTATTTGGTCTTCAAGTTCCCCAGACTTAAGTCTACTTGATTATTTTTTCTGGACTGAAGTCGAAAATTGTTTGAAAAGCAAAAAGTATCAGAACAGAAAAGAATTGGTTGAAACAATTCAAGAAATACCAATAAAAATGATCCAAGATTCAATCGATAATTTTAGCTCTCAAGTTTATTCTGTTGAGAAGAATGAAGGAAGGCTGATTTTAAATAAATAAAGCTGAACTTTAAGAACAACAGTTTATCTTTTTTTTAGCGTTTTTACTTTTAAAAGGTCTTTATATGTTGCCTTAAAAAACTTCTAAAAAACTTATCTCTTTTGCCTCAAAACAAAGTCAATATTGGAAAAAATAATTGATTGTTACAACAATTAAATCGCTTATTATATATATATATATATATATATATATATATATATATATATATATATATATATATATATATATATATATATATATATATATATATATATATATATATATATATTGCTTATTAAGTTAGCTAATGATTATTATGAAAAATAATTTTGTTTAATTTTAAATTATGAAAAAGTATTTATATTGATAAAATTTTTGTTAAATTAAAACGGTTAATTGTTTTTTCATAAACAAAAATCGTAACGTTTTCAAATATAAATAATTAGTGTGAGTTTTTATAAAATTGCTTTTATTATTATTTTTTATAAAATTGCTCTTATATACTACTGCTATTTAAAAAGTAGTTTAATATTTTTTCTATATATACAAATAAATAAAGCATTTTATTTCTATTTGAAAGTATTCCCGATGTATTCATTTCAGGGACCGCAAATACAACGAAACTAATATTTAAAATTATAAACTTTAGTAACCGCTTTTTTTTCAAAAAACATAGTTGCAAAATCTGTGTTTGTTTTAATTATCCCTTCTTCTTTTTTTAAGATTTGACATGGAAAACCTTTAAAATTGTATAAATTCAATTTGAGCTTCAAGTTGATAAGACCGAAGGACTTCTTGGGGTGCGTAAAAAAAAAAACATTTGTTGTAAAGTTGTTTTTGTAATGCTAATAAACACTTCCTCTTGTACTAACGCTTGTACTTTATAAATAATTTTTTATCATTTCTCTACAGCTATATGTTCCATATAGCACACATTTTTTTTCGTAAGCGAAGATTTATAAATATTTATAATCTATAAATCTTTAAATTAATAGTTATTAAAACAATTATATATATCTAGATATTTTAATAAAATGACTAAATAATGGTACAGTTATTTAGTTATTTATTTACTAAAATATAGGTGGCATTATTTTATATATATATATATATATATATATATATATATATATATATATATATATATATATATATATATATATATATATATATATATATATATATATATATATATATATATATATATATATATATATATATATATATATATATATATATATATATATATATATGTATATATATAGAATAATAATATATATACTTTTTAAATGTTAGCGTTAATGTTTTTTAAACAATAAAATAGAACTCCTATTAGGTTATAGTAAAAACGCCATGAAATTTGTTTATTTTTAGGAATGAAAACTTAAAATGTGTTTACCACAGCACAATAAAACGTGCTTGCAGCACGCACGGTGCCATTTTTAATTCTAAGGAAATCCAACTATAACTTGTTGCTTTAGCATGTTGATTTAACTGGATAAGGTAAATTTTTTATTGATCTCGCATGTACTTTTTGGAGCCAGCACACCCCTGGTTAAATATCTATAGGTAACTCATTTAGTGTTTAAGGATTATCCAGAAATTACGCTAGGGATGGCACTTTTACTTATTTTAATGTAAAAACTCGATTTACTTTTAAGCTTAAATTACTTACATAACTTTTCTTTTTTTTTAACATCTTTGCTTCCAACAAGGCTGCAAGCAACCACTAATTAGTGTTGGAAGTTACTGGAAGAGAAAAGATGAAGATTGTAGAGCAAGATAACGATTGACAGACGACTTAAAAGATTGCAAATTATATGAATCAGGAAATCAAGATGAAGGAAGCGAATTCTAAAAAACTGATGTCCGAGGAAAAAAACTAGACAAATAAGAGTTTTTGGAGCACTTAGGAACAGTAACAGAAAAAGGATGAGGCTTAATTGAATGATGAGTAACACGAGAATGAATTTTAGTAGATGGCACAAGAGACGCTAGCTCTTTAGAGCAGTGCCCATTATAGTATTTGTAGAAAAGAGAAGGGGAAGCAACATTATGATGATGTGACAGAGGATGAAGGTTGGCTGCAAGAGCAGGTCCAACTATGTTTACAATGTGTTTTTGCACCTTGTCTAAAAGAGAAAGGGCATCATTAAAAGATCCACCCCAGATATGGCAACAGTATTCCATACAAGGCCGGATTTGAGATTTATAGAGGTAGAGAATAGAATCCAGAGTAAGAAAGTGATGAGCTCGATAAAGAGAAGCGACTTTAGCAGATGCTAATTTTGCAACGGATTTGATATAACGTTTCCAAGAAAGATCAGAAGTGAGAGTTAATCCTAGAATATGAAGGGTAGGAGACTCATCGAGTACATTACCATTCATAAATATAGGAAGGTCTAAATTATTGCGATAATGATTGGCTAAAAAAAATTGAGTTTTATCTGAATTAAAGTTCACCAGCCACTGTGAGCCCCATGCTGTAGCAGAAGTGAGATCCTTTTCAAGCTCAGATGCCCCCTGCAAGCAATCAGAGGGAGTTGGCTTCTTATCGTGACAAGAATAAATGGTAGTATCATCAGCAAACAATGCCACCTTAGATGTGAGAATATCTGGAAGATCGTTAATGTAAATTAAAAAGAGTATAGGGCCAAGGATTTAACCTTGAGGAACTCATATTAAAATATATAATTCACTTACATTTAAAAGTAATTCTTTTTTTATTACATAAATTATATTACAAGTAAAACTTAATTACATAAATTTAATTACTTAAATTCGTAACTGTTACTTGAAAAAGTAATTTATTTTTACAAGTAAAAAAAATTACTTTGAAAGTTGTTTACTTTTTCTTCAAAAAGTAAATTACTTTTCAGGTAAGTTGTTAAAAAGTAATTTACTTTGAAAAATAATTTTGATTTTACTTACTCGCGATTTTACTTTTGAAAGTAAAATAAAAGTACATTATAAAAATAAATTACTTACATGTGTAAAAGTAACTAATTAGGAAAGACAACTTACATAAAAGTAATTTGAAAAAAAAAAGATTTACTATTAAAAATAAAAGTAATGTTTTTCTTTCAAATACTTATTTTACTTAGTAAGCAAAATGTAAATTACATTATCTACTTCTTCAAAAAACAAAGCCATTTTACAATATTTTTTTAAGGTAGGTAGTTTATTAAAAAGTATTAGTTGATGGGTACATCTGGAGTTTACTATTTAGAATTATTCAGATGTATGTGGGCTGTTTTTGCGGCAGGGCATTACAAATTATACAAGTAGGGGCTAATATAGTTATTAGGATGGATTTGTAAAAGTAAGACAGTGACGGTGGACAGCGGAGCTATAAGGAGCAAAATTATTTTTTTATTTAGATCAAAAGTAGATTATTGGTCCTAATTTAAATGTGGTGAGGGGAGGGCATAGTTTTAATTTTTTTTTTACTATTTAGATTATTTTTAAAGTGCTTCCAAGAAGTCTGTACGGTACAAAAGCCCGTGTAAAAGCATTTAACATCACGCCTCTTTTAACCGATGTCGCAAAACTCACCCATTTCGTGGTAAACTTTTAACCTTTATGATCAAATATTTATTATGCATTATTTATTTGGTATGGGGTGGGGGGGGGGGGGGGGAAAGATAAATTAAATACTATAAAACAATATTTGTTAAGGGCAAGGAAAGCCAGAATTTAAAAAAACGGTCCTTTTGAATATTTTATGGCCGATGCCTAAACCTACCCACCACCACATAGTCTAGTACTGCCCAGTATAGCCATGGACCGGGAGTAAGAATGGTTTTAATCGGCAGCATTTAGATGCTTATAAACCAAATACTGATATATCAAAATTTACAAGGGAAAAAAAACTCAAAACCGCTCACAAAAAATGTCGCCAAAAACTAAATGTTAGTTATTTTGATGCAAGTTGTACTTTTTGCATTTCACTTTCAGTTGCACAATATCCTCTCTAATTTATTTTAGAATATAAGTAAACTTACTTATAAAATATAAATTATTTTTAGTTTACTTTAAAAATTATATAAAATATAAGCTTATGTAATAGAATTTTTTCTTTATATAATTTATTTTTTACAACAATTTTTTTTTACTTACATAATGAAAAATGGCAATTTATATAATATTATTTTATGAGTAAATTTTATTTATATTTGGTCGCCTATTACTTTTATGTAATTCTTTTTCATATAAAAGTTTTTTTTTACAATTACGGTAATATAATTTTTTTTTTATAAATTATTTTATATGTGAATGTAAATTACATTTTGAGGAACTATTAAATTATGTAATGTAATTTGAAAAAGTAATTATTATTTATAAGCTAAAGTAAATTGGTTTTTTATGAGACTTACTTTTCCTTGTAAAAGTAAATTACTTTTTGATGTAATCTGTTTTTACATAAGTTACTTTTGAAAGTAAAAAAAATCACTATATAAAGTAAAAGTCGTTTCATAAAAATTAATTACTTTTTTGTAAATGTAAACTCAATTTGAACGGTGACAATTACTTACATAATAAACTTTAAAAAAAAAATTTACTTGTGTAAATAAAAAAAAGTAAATAAAAGTAGCCCTAAATTACGCAATGTTTAAAAAAAAAAAAACTGTAAGAGAACTTAAGCTTATTTATGCAGCGAATTTCATTAAACTTAATACGCTAGTTTCATTTTTTAAGTTGAGATTCTGCAAGGGAAAACTTTTGATATTTTTTATGCAGCGAATTTCATTAAACTTAATACGCTAGTTTCATTTTGTAAGTTGAGACTCTGCAAGGGAAAACTTTTGATCTTTTTTGTTTTGTTTGTTAGTGAAATTTAGCATTGCATAATTTACAGATGATCCCTTAAGTTAAATATCTTATTTTAAGATACTATAGTTATTGTTATTAAAGTTTTATTTCTCTAAAGAAATTACATTTTTTTTTTTAGTTTAAATATTGTTTTTTGCAGGTTAGCGCCTTTAGTGTTATTGTGGGGTAAATATCTGCAGAAACTACATTTAGTATTCAGACTAAATATTTATTACGTAGATACTACATTGTGTATTTTTACCTGCTCTGTTTTTTATTGATTTAAGAACTTGCTTTTTTTTTAATTTGAAATGTTTGTGCTAAAATAGACATTTTAATGAAGTTGAAACTATTCATTTGTAACTGTTTGTAACTTTTATAAACAGTTGTAATTGTTCATTTATAACTTTTAGATTAATGGAATCAATTCAAAAATTGTAATTAGATGATTTTAAACAATTGAAACTATATAAGCCTGATGTGATTTATAAATATTTTATTTTGTTTTTTATATAATAGTTTAATTTTCTTTAAATACTACTTTAAATAGGTATTTTTATTCATAGAATTCTTCATAGTTATGTAATGTTTTAAAAAATATGCAATTTTAAGTAGGGAAAGTGTGGGCATAACGGCATATTGAGACACAACCATTTTTTTACATTTACCTTTGAAAAATGTTATCCAATACGGCAAAAAACATACCACGCGTTGGTAAAACAGTTTCCTTCATTTTGCTAATGTCAAAAAGAGTGCCTGATGCGTTTCTGAGAAATTGTGCATAATAATGTTTATTTTGATAAAAATATTATATTTACATCAAATTTTTCTAGACCTTTTTTTTGAGGATTAAGCAATGTTTGATTTTTATATTCAAGATATGTGTTATTAGCGTTATTTCATCAAGTTAAAACCATTTTTGATATTAACATAACCTAATAAGCAAGCTATGAAATTGTATTCTTTTTAAAAACTCTCTTTTGTGGCAGAACAGCATAGACACACAGGAGGCACAACCGCATACTTTTGATATTAATCAAAGTTAAATAATTACGAATACAAAGGTTTTTGTAAATATTATTACACTTTTTGTGTAATAATATTTACAAAAACTTTTTTTAATTTTTTTCCTATTTGCAGCTATTTAAAGCTTAATAACGTGGTTATTGAAATAAACTGTTAAAAAGACACATTTTGCTTTTATTTTCATATAACATCCAAACATTTTAAACAAAACTTTAAAATGTTATTGACAGAAAGAAAAAAAAGTTGAAACTAAAGATATCAAAAAATGAACAAGTTTAAGTTAAAGAAGTTTATTTTATTTTGTACACGTGAACCATTATTCATACCAAATACCAAATACATAAAAAAATGTAAATATTAAACTTTATCTTTATTAAGTTGATTTTTGTACAAATAAATTCAACAAAAAACTTTTTTTGAAACATTTGCACTAAAACAAAAAGCATGAAAAAAAGTATTAAAATTGTCACCTAGATTTATATATTGCAACTTAAAAAATAGTTTAATAGTTAAACTTAAAAAGTAGTTTAAAGAACAAATAATTTATAAAAAAGAGTAATAATAACTAAACTGGTTTTATAATAAAATAAATTACATATTTAAAAACTTAAAACTAATAAAATTAACTAAAAAAATATAAAAAATGTATATTACAATTGAAAAATAAAATATATGTGATACAAATAAAAAATTAAATGTAATTTACAAACCAGAATCATGCACTTACCACCTTTGAGAAAGTCCAATTCTGATTAAATGTCTAGATGTAGATGTCCCCTTTGATAACAACCTAAATCATGTAAATATTATATACTATTATTATAAATATCATCTACTACAAATTTATTCTAAAAAGACTTAATTTTAATTTTCATTATCACCAGTTTATTATATTTATCTATAACTATTAAATTACTGTATCAAATTAAATATTTCTAAATAGATGAAGTTTTATTTATATATTTCTAATAAATAATTTTATTCTTGCAAAATTATTGTTTCCACGGTAGGGAACCAACAGAAAGGCAAGCATATTAGAACTCTTGAACGCACCTTAGTTATATTGGGTGTAGTTAATTTCAGTCCTTAGTTATATAGGGTGTAGTCAATTTCAGAGTAAACTCCTCAAGCAAATGAGCAACTGGATTTCATTTTATAGTGCACCAAGGCTTACCTAATGACACAGAGATTCAAGCATTGCAAAAAACTTGCATACGATGTATATCTGCTATGAAAAATAGTCAATTTGCAAGTAAAAATCTAAAAGATTCCACTCCCTTAGATGTAATGGTAACAATTCATTCTTTACTCAATCAAAACATCTAATCAGACCATCAAATTCTTGCTGATTGGGAAACTGTAGTTATTTGATTCACTACTTTTTCCCTGGGCCCATTCACTCACTACCTCATAGATTAGAGAAATTAGAACAGGTGAGCACATTATATTGAACACTGAAGCAATTGAAAAAGATACATAAGAATGAACTATATTCTTCTTCCCTTTGAAACCTTTAAATATTGAAACACCCACCATAAAAAAGTAACTATTGTTTAAATGATCTGTCAGCTATCTTTAGATTCTTGATATGGCAAAAAGTATGTACATCTTGCTGCAAAAAATCAGTTTACAAATCATACCCTCAATGGTATATGGATCTTATGATTTATCCTGATCACTTAGGGGTCACCCATATAGTACAAAGGCTTGACTCACTTTTTAACACAATTGACACTTGACATAATTTTGACCCACCCCTGCATTTTGCTATAAATTTTTTTGAGTACGCTCCACCTCCATAAAAGTAACTATGTTTTTAACCTACCTACCCAATAGTTTATGATATTTTTTTAATTAGATGTCTTCTTACTTGTAAAATAGATCCCTTGCCCCCCCCCCCCTAATCTCATAAAAGCTAATTGCAGACCTCCTTTCCCTCATCCGAGCGTACATACGTTCTCTTATTCTTATTCTAAAGTCTGCTATACTGTAAATTTTTATTGCTTTAGCTGCAAAATACTTATTTTCAAATTCTATTCAGCACAAAATGTGTAAATATTCTAATAAATAAGGCAATTTCTTTAACTTTTGGTAAAATCATTTAATTTAAAAAATACATGTTTCGACTATATCATAGCCATCCTCAGTTAAAATACATTAAAGCGCTTCAATCAAATTTGTAAAATTAAGTTGAACTAATAGACCTTATAATAACAAATATAATAACACAATAAAAATGCAATGAAAAATGCCTTGGAAGCCTTGTTCACCAACTTTTAAAGCAATTTTACAAACAACAGAGAATAAAACAGCAATACTCGAAAAAAGGAAACAAATACTATACAAAAGAGAAATCTATCTAAATTAAATAAACTTAAAAAAAAATTGAAAATTATAAAAGGAAAAAATTTTTCTTAAAAAAATAATATATCTAAATATTTTACTGTTTTTTCTTGTGTTTTTTTGGCATTTGTTATTTCCCACTACCAAAATTGATACAAATTGAGGAAAAAAGCAGATAAGAATATAACGAAAGTAAAAATATTTTTTGATATACAATTTATTTGCGACATTTGTCAGTCAGTTCATCAGCATATCAAGGAAATGCACTTTCGTTGGGTTAGATTTTTTGTTAGGTTTTTTCGTTAGATTTTTCGTTAGGTTTTTCGTTAGAAATGCACTTTCGTTGGGTTCTTCAAATTGTGCATTCAAAACTAATAGTTTACTTCCAGATGATTGTTATTCATGATGCTCCAAAAGCTTATTGGCGTTGTTAATTTACTGAACTTATTTAAAGAAATTTTTAGTAAACTATTCAAAACTTTTTTTTAAGGTTTTGAAAACATTCAAACAGAGCAATCGTTAAATGCATAATCTCTAGTAATTCATATAAACATTGGAATATAGGTAACATAAAGAAAAGAATCACTGATACCAGTGTAAAATGAAAAAAAAATTTTGTGATTTTCTACTAACTTATAATTGCTCTGTTCTTTTAAGAACATTGAGCACTCTATTTTGTAGAATATATTTTAAAAATTTAAATATATTTAAGTTTAAATATATATATATATATATATATATATATATATATATATATATATATATATATATATATATATATATATATAAATATATATATATATATTAGGGTGGAGTGAAAAAACCTTTTTTTGGAAATTCATTTGAGCTGGGTATGGAAAAGTTGCCTTTGGGTACAAAATGAACTGTGGTAAAAGCATTTTGCTATAGATTAATATTTAGGTCTGCCCCAAAGCATTTGAAAATTTGAATATTTTGTTAATTTCGGCATTTTTGGCTTAAAAAATAATAATTTCCTATCATTGCAAATTCAAGTTGGCTGGGTATGCAAAAGTTTCCATTTAGTACAAGGTAAACTGTGGTAAAAGCATTTTGCCCTAGGTTAATTCTTAGGTCTGCCCCAAAGCACTCGAAAATTGTCGTTTTTCGTGCATTTTGTGGTTTTCGGAGAAAAAGTTAATAATTTCCTATAATTACAAATTTCAGTATTTACTTTATTTTGTTTGAATTATTATGTTAGAAATTAATTATTTTATTTTTATATTATTATTTTAGATTAGAAAATTGTTTTAGATTAGAAAATTCAAACAACCTCGCATCTGTGAGTGACGTCCGAACAAAAATAACAAGAATGGCTGGTGTTAGTGGGTGTAAGAAGCACAAGACACGGCTGCGTACCAATTGCCCAATTTTCGGAAATCTTTCATATTTACCAGAGACCGTTCTTCCCACAAATGCTGATGTGATGAAATATTACTTGTTCCTTAAAGACGAAATGACATATAGATCTGCAGACATATAGATCTGACATATAGATCCCTTCAGTTGCTAAAGTTTCAAGTTGTGTTTCATCGAAAGTCGAAGCATTGTGGCACAAAGCATCGATTCCAATTATAACACACAAGCGGATTGTAGCGAAGATAAAAGAACTTCATGACAAACATCGAAATATGCTCAAGCCCTTAAAGAGGCGACATAATGATCCTAACTATCAAGCAAAGATGCAAAAGTTTTGTACAGAAGCTAATTTCCAGTTGTTTGACATCGCAGTCTGCAAATGCTTGGACATAAATCACTGCAATTGTGAGAAAAGTTTTAAGGTACCAGTTGCAGAAAAACCATTTTTGGAAGATCAAAGAAGTACAAGAAATATGATGATTGGAAGTATAGATAAAGTTGTTACAAATCAATTGAAAGAACGCCATAATCGCAAAAGAAAACTTTCCAATATTTACAAAACTCCAACAACAGCCACTACATCTAACTCCCTATTGTCTTCAAATATTGTTGAAATCAGTTTGTCTTCTGATACTGAAACTGACAACGATACTGATGTCCATTTTCCCTCAATACATAAGGTTCCAACTACTGGAACAGCAGAGAAAAAACAGATGAGAGCAAACATTCCAAATATCTCAAAGGAATGTGATCGCCATAGCATTTCAGATCGTGCTGCGGCAGCCATTGCTAGTGCCGTGTTGCAAGACATTGGTATCGTGAATGACTGTGACAGTACCATGGTTATTGATAAAAGTAAAATTCGAAGAGAAAGACAGAAGGTTAGAAATGAACTTCAATCCCACCTTGCCTCTAATCTAACAGGTTTGTACTTCGATGGTAAGAAGGACAAAACAAAAATGCAACTCAAGAAAGGTTCCAAGTATTATTACAAAATAGTTACAGAAGAACATGTTACACTAACTCAAGAGCCCCATTCAATATATGTCGGTCACATAAGCCCTGAAAATGGAACATCAGTTAAGATAGCATATGGCATAGTAGATTTCTGTGATTCAAATGGAATTTCACTAGACAATTTAGTAGCTGTCGGTTGTGATGGCACAAATGTCAACACTGGTGCGTTGGGAGGTGTCATCTGTTTACTTGAGATGAAACTCGATAGGCCTTTGCATTGGTTCATTTGCATGCTTCATGCAAATGAGCTCCCTTTTAGACATCTTTTGTGCAAGTTAGATAGCACCACAAGTGGACCAAAAGCTTTCTCAGGTCCAATCGGTAAACTACTTCCAATCTGTGAAACTTTTCCTGTAAAGCATTTTTCAACTGTAGAGATGAATAGTTTTCCAGATGTAAATTGTAAAGATTTAAGCACAGATCAAATGTATTTATATAAATTGTGCCACGCAGTGAATAATGGTGAATGCCCAATAAATCTGGCAAATAAGACTCCAGGTCCTGTAGTTCACTTGCGCTGGCTGACAACAGCTAGCAGAGTTCTGCGGTTATATGTTTCGATGGAAGATCCAACTGAAAATCTCGTGACTCTTGCAACATTTGTTGTTAAAGTTTACGCTCCTACTTGGTTTTACATCAAGACGAAATCATCTTGTACTCAAAGGGCACTCCATCTATGGAAAATGATAAACTTTTCAAGGTACCTTAAAAATGACTTAAGATGTATTGTGGATGAGGTAATTCAGAGAAATGCTTATTTCAGTCATTACAAAAACATCCTACTTGCAATGTTGACTGATGAGCGCGAACACATAAGGAAACTGGCATTCAGAAAAATCCTTGGTGCAAGGGAAAAAAACAGTCAGTCACTAAGACGCTTTCGTGTACCGAAACTTAATTTCGAAGCAGATGACTACACTAATCTAATCGACTGGAGTGTTGTCCAGAAAAGCGAGCCCCCTGCTACAAAGAACATCTCAACTCATGAAATAAAGTCATTTGTAAATGGTGTTTCATTGACTGAACCAGTTTTAAACATTCCAGAGTTTCCATGTCACACTCAGTCAAAGACACGTTAAGCTTTTTACTGAAGCATCAGCTACTGTTTGCAGTTTTGATCGCAGAGATGGAATGATTCGTGCCACACTGGAATCGAGATCAAAGACAAAAACTTTCAACACTAAGTCTCAGTTTCAATTATAAAGATTTAAACAACTGTGAAGTTCTTGGATATATTATACTTTTGTAATGTAATTTAATATGCCTATAAACAATCTGAAATATGTATGAAATTGGTTTTGCAAAAATTAAGACTTTTATGATATAGTGGATCCTAACCATCTACTAAGAAAAAGCAATTTTTAAGTTTTTTCAGTTTAACAGATACAGACCATCTAATAAAAGTGATGACTTTTAGATTATATTGTTTGTGGGTAAATAAAAAAAGGTTATTTTCAAAAAATCTTAGGGGAGAGGGGAGAGGCAATCACCCCCATCCTGCTCAATGAATCCGCTCTTGATATGTGTGTAAATATAAAGTAACATCTTTATGCATGGGCCACCCTTAGCACTGTCCATTGGTCCTGCACTTAAAGGGACCACAGCACCCATAAATTAAATACAGAATTTTAAGTAAATAATTATTCAGACTATAAGAAAAATTTTAATTAAAAGTGAAAACTTTTTTCTTCACAAAATCATATTTATAATAAAAAATAACATAAAAAGGAAAATAATCATTTTAATCATTTGAAATTCCTAAATAAAAATTAGCTTGTATGCCCATCATACATGACTACTCTATCACTTTCATATCAAAATATTTTTAATCTAGTCAACATATCATTACTGTGTGAACCAGTCACATTATTAGATTGTACTCATAGCTCTGTTTTGTAACTTTTGTAGCATTTGAATATCATTTTCATTTCAATAAAGAGTTATGAAGTGTAATATTCAAAATGAGGTGTGATAATTGTATTAAAAATTATTGTTTAACTCACCTAGCAATTCTCACAAGATAACCAGTCATCATAACAATTTTGGCTGCAGTATACCTAATGTGTTCAGAAATTGCAATGAATTTTAATACCCAGGTATATTACACATTCACTGAATTTAACTACTTGATTTTCAAGCTTGATACATTGCTAGGATATTTTTCAGTGATACTTGAATATTTTACCTTCAAACTTGTAATCAACATGCTTATTGACTTACTTTCAATGCATTTAGTTTCAATCCATTTTCAATAAACCAAATACCGTGTACATCCAATTCATTATTTAACCTAATAATCAATTTTCCCTAACTTTGACCTTCAATGTAGACTAATGTGTCATCTGCAAAGAGAATAATGTTTACATATCTGGTAGCACTGCCAATATCATCTATGTATATTATAAATAACAGGGGCCCTAATACTGATCTTTAGAGGCACACCTACCTCAATAAGTATTTCAGATGATAACTGATCACCAATTCTAACTCTTTGAGTTATTCTTGTTAAGTAGCTTATAATTAATTGAAGTACTAGTCCTCCCATTTTGTAGCACTTAAATTTTTCAATTAATATTTAATACTAACTGTTTCAAATTTAAGTCTAGCATTGCTTCTATTTAAGTCTAGCATAACTGTAATAATGAACATACTGCTATCAACTGCTGCCTTCCATTTTGAATTGAGTAGTTAATATAGCGGTCTCATGTCTTGTGGTAACTTTGGCAATCTCACTTTCTGTATCAAAGTGGATTTTTTCCAAGTTTTAGATACAAAACCTGTTTTTAAAGATAGATTATTTATTCTTAGGTAATTTAAACTTATGACTAGATATACTTTCTTTAAAATTGATAAAATCATATCTTCACACATACTTTTTTTTTATCTCTAAGGTCACTTACTATTTTTTCAAATTGATATTTAGAAATTTCTTTTTTTTTGAAAAAATTCATTTTTTGATATTTTTACACTTTTATAAATTCTGTACTATTTGAGGAAATCTTGTTTGTTTACTATAAATTATTTTGATGTTTTAAATTATCAAACAACAAAAATATTATTTCGATGTTTTAAATTATCAAACAACAAAAATTATGTTTTTTATCTGAATTAAAATAAATGCTAATATTTGAATCAATAATACTAATAATTGAGTTAAAATGCCAAAAACTCGGGAGTTCAGGTGTATCAACTTCTAATGTTAACATATACCTAAATTTTACGATAATAGCTATTATCGTAAAATTTGCTTTTCAAATAGACAACATTAGGTAAGATTTTTTTTGAAACTATTATTCTAATAATCTTAAATTTTTATATGGTTTAACTCGCTTGAACAATTTTTTGAATGAAATAAGGTTTGAAAATAATGCTAATTATATAATAATGGCAATTACTGAGCCACTATTTTGCAAAGAAATATACCACTCTCTTGCAACGAAATTGAATTTTTCAATCTATTTTATTTTTTAAACCAATCATGTTTAAATTTTTTTTTTAATGAACTGGAAGTTTAGTTTTTATTAAGAAATAGTTCAAAAAAGCACAAAAGTTAAAATTCAATAGCATTAATCACCTGAATGTAAATGGAATCATTTTCTTTTTCTGTTGTTTTTGTTGCTTAAATCGCTATTCGTGCGCACTTATACGATATGCAATGTAATTTTTGGGAGCTAAGCCCAAGGCTTGAAAAAATTTAACCGTTACACATTTCGTCCCCTCAGTATTATCTTGTTCTTTCTACAAATGAAATAAATAAAATGTTCTATATAATATACAAAATAAATTCAAGAAGAAAAATTATATATAAATAAATACAATGTTTTATGTAATGCGATATTTTATATCAGGTAGAACATTGTGTTTATTTATATATATATATTTTTTGAATTTATTTTTATATTAGGTAGAATATTTTATTTATTACATTTGTAGATGGAACAAGATAACACTGAGGGGACAATTTAGCAAGAATATCAAAGTAGGAAAAAATAGAAGATATCTAAACATAGTCATATTATACTTCTAGCCATAAGTTTTTGGGGTCAGGAAAATATGTACTGATCACTCTAACCGGCGCGTTCGCAGTCGCGCTAATTTGATTTTTCGGCGTTTCGGATTTGACACTTTAAGGTATTGTGCAAATTCATACAAAAAAAAAAAAATTAACATAATAGATAGATTAGTAACTTAAAAGTTGTTGATCAACGCAACTTTCCGCTCTAAAGAAGATTTATACCTAATAAGATCTATATTCTATATCTTTACGCATGCAGTTTTTGTTAGACTGTCAAAATGTAATATATGTAATCAGATGATACATAGCTATCTGTTTGACATTGTATATAAAGTACTTAAATGAAAAGTATAAACTTAATTTTTTGTTACTAGATTATGTGGCTACTAGCCTAGCAAGTCTGGTATATGTGTGCTTTTCCTAGTTTTACAATATGAAAATCTTGCACCATTATTTAGTCGTGTATAACTTTAATATAATAAAAAAACCTGTTTCAAACAGGTTTCTTTATTAACAGAAAACAAACAGTGTTTGTTTTTTGTTATTGTTGAAGATATCTTTTGTAAGCTGAAATAATGCACTGCCTAATATACAATTACATAATTATACATTACATGTGTAAGTACATTTTATTATAGAGTAACGTGTATTTTATTTTTATTCATCCATTCTAGCTGCCCCCTATCACCGGCCACCCTTGGGCTTTAGCCTCGGTCAGCCCTTTGGTAAATACAGCCCTTGGTATCTATGGTAAAATAATACATCAGTTAAAGGCCTAATAATATACATGCAGGTGTGAGCATTAATGTGTTGGACTTTTATAAACTTAAGCCTTGATCCTGATATTTTGAAAACTATTAAATTCTTAGTCTTGGTCTCGGGTTGGCTCTATGTCTTGGTCTTGAACTTTACTGTCTTGGATGCATCTCTGTTTTATGCTAAATTTAAGCTTATCCACAGGTTTTAAATTTCATCGAATAATTTTTTAATGGTCAAAAGATGTGAATATTAAACTAATCTTTTAGAAAAATTAGACATTATTACCGAGGCTCGAAATGATCGCTGCTTTGCACTATTAATTCTGTTAGACTCCACTAAAGCATTTCTCACTCATTTTTGTTCTCCTGAAACTAAAGGGATTCGGTTTTTTTGACATGATCCTCAATTGGATAAAAAAATTTTAGCAAATGAAAACAACGTGTAATTCTTGGTGACTCCTCTTCTGACTGGATAGATTTTTTCTGCACTTAAAGTTCTTGTCACTCAAGAGTTTTAACAAACCCGAAATATAACGTTCAAATATTCTTATTTAACCATTAACATACCCCAATTTAAGCTACTCTATGCACAAAATTTTCTAAAAAAACGCATTAAAAAAAATCCTCAGAAATTGTTACAATCTTATCAAATTTTCTTTTAACTTTTATAATACATTTAAAAATACAAAAACTGCAATTGAATTTAAAACAAATGTTGGTAATCACATTTCGTAAATATACCCAACATCAAGAATCATTTAAAATCTAGCTTAAATACCCGAATAACGCCATTTTATGCAATAATGATTTAAGCTGTAAAAAATTTAAAATAGTATATTTTATTTTATAAAAAAATAATACACGGAGGTATTATAAAATATTCATTTTTAATCTATTTTAATTATTTTTTTACCCTTTTTACAATTTTAGCTCAAGCTGGCTTCTGTTTCGTAAAATGAAGTTCAGTATTTTCTATGATGTTTTTAAATTAAAAAAAATAATTCCAATCGAAATAATTCTTCAGAGATAAAAATTATATAACTATATTATTACTTTTTGTACTTTGTTCAAAAAAAATTGTCCAATCTTATCAATTAGAATTGAATCTTCTAAAAACAACTCAACTAGATCAGATTAACTTTGAAAAAAATCTATTAACTTAAGTTAATAGATTTTAACTTTTTGAATAATAGTTTAACTTTTTGAATAATTGCATGCTAATTAGCATGCAATTATTCAAAAAGTTAAACAAATTACCAATGCTCAAATAAACTTACTTAATGAGTATATAATTATTCAAAGCATTAGTCACCATTGATTATTGCATTCTTTTAGACATAATAAAGCCAAACCGTACTGTTAATACATTCTATTATTGAGTTTAAAGTTAAACTACCAATAGAAAGGAATACTTCCATAACCTACTGAAATATTAAATGTCATATAAAGAGTTTTTCCGACTTAGCTGACGTTACAGACTTTTAAAATTAAATTTAATAAACAGGGGTGGATCTAGAATTTTTCGATATATTCAGTTTAGTAACTTTTAAAAAGATTTTAAATTTTAAACTTTTGTATGTTCATTTTTATGTCATATAAGGATGCCATGCTAAAAATTGCCCTGATTAGAGCCTGAGAACAAAATACCTAAACGTAGGTATTACCCGTTTAAATGTTGGAAGGATGGGGAATTTTATTTTTTTCAAAAAAAAAAAAAACCTATTTAAAAAAAAACTAAAATTTGTAAATTTTTTAAAAATACCTAGAAACTTGTCAAAAGTTCTTTGCAAAAAAACTTTTTATAAAATTAGAATCCTGTTAACAAAATTTTTTTTAGATAAAAAGCTAGTTTTAATAGTAAAAGAAATTTTGATTCGACAAATTGATTTTAAAAACAACTTTTTTAGTAAGTTTTCACTTTAATACTTAAAACTGTAGTCTTTGTAATTTTTTCATTATTCAATAGAATTATACAAAAAGTAGAGGATTATTAAGTCAAATCAAATAAAGTTCACCTGTGCTTATAAAAACCGTATTCGCAATGAAGAGTAGAGACATAATCCCATAGCAGAGTTGTATGCGCAATAGAAGAGCTGTATCCGGGTAATAGCAAAATTTAGGCGTAAATAAAACTAAAAAAGTTATAACTTTTGCAATATTTGATACTAGTACATAAAATGTAAAATACTAGTAGAAAAATGCATGCTTGAAAAGTTTTTGATCCGTAAAGAGGAAAATCATTAAAATCAGCTTAATTTTTACTAAAAACTGTGTGTGCTTTTGCTAACTATGTGCACTTGTGATTACAATTTTGTACCTAATAACCTTGAAATAATTGAATCAAATACTAAAAACAAATTATTCTTAAAGTTATTTTTGTCTTTTAGGTAGACTAAGCAAATGTGGCGCAATGATAACGTAGATTATGCCGCTGTGGCGCAATAAATATGTAGACTATGCAGCTGTGGTGTCATGATAACGTTGATGTGGTGCAATGATCAGAATGCCAATTTCAATGATTATTTACACTTCTGGCCATTTAAATCTGAAATCTTTAGAACGACAAAAAAAAAAATTAAGTATTTTTTAATAAAAAACCACAATACTGGTCATTTAAACGTTCAATAAACATGAAATAATAAACGTAATAATTTTTAGTTTTATTAACTTTGTTTTCAAAAACATTCTTATTTACATTTTTAATTTCAAAACTTTCGTAAAACGATCTTAAATTGTTAATCGTTCGTTAAAAAACAATAAATTGTCATTAATTCAGTGCCGGATCAAGGAAGGATATAGTGGATATATATGGATAGATATATATGGGGGCTATAGTCCCAAGTCCCGCAAATTTTGGAGCCCCCAAAAAATTTTAGAAGAACTTTTTTTTTTGTATTTTTTTTTTTTTTTTTTAAGGCTCTGGCCCATAAAAAGGCCTCAAGAAGTCTTAATCCGCCACTGCATTAATTAATAAATCGCGAGGTTAGAATTATTTTGTTCTATCTCCATGTTTTTCCGAATTGAGAAAATTAAATTCAAAGTTTTAAATGAACCTGCAGACCAAATAACATAAAAAACGCAAACAAAACCGATTTTTATCAATTTCCCATATAGGCTACCACAGTTTAAAAGAATTTGTTTTAAAATATTTAAATTGCAGGTGTCTTATTTACTAGACCTTGATTTGGAGATAGAACAATGTAATACACACTTTTTTTGTAAAATACAGTATTATTTTGTTCTATCTCCATTTTGTGTAAAAAAACATATTACAAATTAATATATTGTTGCAAGATGAATTTATATTTTGGCAATAAAAGTACTCTAAAGTACATATTTGCTTTATTTGAAAAAAAAAATTATTTTACACAGGTGAACAAACTACATGAATACGTGATTTTGTCAAAACAGAGAAGATAAATAATATATTATCTTAAGATCTTTACAATGAAATAAAACTTAAGTTATAAATTCCAATAACATAACATCTAAAGTACATTGCACAGTAAAATGATATCTCAAATTAGGCAAATCAAGCATATCTGGTTAATCCATTAAAAATATAACATTTCAGAAAGAAGTCCATTTAACAACATAAAATATAATACAAATATTTAGACAATAAAATAAATTATTTTAAAATACTTTTATAAAATGCAACGTCTACAGCAGACATATACATGAACATACTTTTAAGGTCCTTGGCTTTATCACTTGAAATTTGAGCACACTGATTCAAGGCAGAAGCCATTGGTACAACTGCCAGAGGTCTTGTTATCACAGATGATGAAGAGCGCGGATTGTTAGGAAGACGCCTAATTCGTGCTTCTGAACAAACATCTGAAAACGACTTTCTGTAATATACATGATCTGAAAACTCTGCTCTGTAAACCAGATGCTTTATCTGGCTATAGGGAACAAGCTTAAAATTGAAATAGCTTGCAATAGCTGAAAA